TGGACGCCACCGCTGCTTGAAGGGGTTGCGCTTGGAAACGACCGGGACTGGTTGGACGGGAGTGGAGGAGCTCTTTCCCGTCGTTAAAAGGCTTTCTGAGGGGGCCACTATGCGCGCAATGGCCTCGTGGCAGCAAAAAAAATCGGGTTTTTAAAGATCTTTTTGCCGCAGTTCCCTTTTCCTCCCGGATTGTAGCCCTGGATAGGATAACTTTAATCCCAACGCGAGACCCAATTTGGTGTAGTGGTGAAGCATCCCGTAGAAACCGGGAGAGAAAGTTAAGCTGGTGAGGCTGGGCCAGTCCCTCTCCCTCAGCCCTTGGAAGGTTGGAATGGCAAATAACTTCTGAAAAAGTTTGCCAAACAAATTTACAGGGAGTCCTGATCCCATCCAGGACAAATGGTTGTACGATCTCTTCTTGAAGACCTCCAGGAGCACTCACAATGGAACTGAACCAGTTGAGTTCATAGAATACTAACCTTTTGCACAGCCTATAAAGTCACAAGTGGCATACAGATTGAGCAGTATAATGACCACAATTGGGTTGGACTAGAAGACCTCCAAGGTCCCTTTTCACCCTGTGATTCTGTGCTTTCTATAGAGTAGAATAGAATTCTTTGTTGGCCAAGTGTAGTTGGACGCACAAGGAATTTGTCTTGGTGCAAATACTCTCAGCATACAGGCAGCCTCTGAGAATCAGACACTTAGAACTTAGACTAACTTTATTGTCATTTTGAATGTACATTAATCAGCATACGTTTGGCAAACAATGCATGGGTTAGTAGAAAACAGCTGGAAAAAAATAAAAATCCTGAATGTTTTCCTTTTTATGTTCAACAGGCTTTAAAATATAGGACCGGTTGGCTTCGAGATCAGTCCAAATTCGTGGAGGAAAGATGGCTGTTGCAGATGTGGCTCTAGTAAGAGATGCATAGATGGAGAAAAGGGAGCTTCTTGTGGGGTGGGGGAGGAAAAGGGCCTGGAGCTGGGAGTTGAGCTGTTCAGGGGTTCAATTGGGCTACTAGATCTGGGAGTGAAAATCTTGACAAACAGATTCATGAAAAAATAGTTATTTGTGTATATTAAAAATTACGTGGATTGGGTACGTTCATTTTGATTAGTTTTAGGCTTCCTGTGTTCCTCTTTCCAAGAAGTGTTAAGAGTTGTATCTATCGTAGTGTGATAGTGCCTAAAAATCACCTACTGAAGTTTATCTTTTTTCCTTGAAAGAGGAAGGCGCTAAAACAAAATCAGTATTTGTGTTTGTTGCAGGTATTTGGATTTCCAGTAATGTTTGGATTCTCTGCAATAAGTATATGCCTTGTTTGTGACAGATTGTGTAAATTGGCCCTTGTGACTACTGTAACATAGTTAAACTGTAGTCAAGCTATTTGTGGCTTATTCAGACAACTACGGTGAAGAAAATCTTGTTTAATCTGCTCCATGGAAATAGTCAACACTGAAGTAATGTTCTTTGCAGGGTTCTGTGCATGTATTTATTATGTAGTAAAGCTTGAGGAAAACTTCTTAACAAATGGTGACTTATTGATCAACTCTAGCTAAAAATATCATAAGTTAGTACAAATTCTGTTGAGCAAGCCATAAACACTCAGAAAATTAGTTCTATCTGTTTACCTATCAAATAGGTGAGGAAAATTTTAAAGAATGAAGGGAACTGTTCTATCCCCCAAGGTGCCATAACAGGTATTTTCCACTTGATTTAAGGACATAGATATTAAAATGGAATGTGGCCTACCTGGAATAAACTACCACAAATCTGAAAAAACCCTGATGTTAATTTCTTGCAACCTGATACCATTCGAATGGATTTGACTACAATTTCATAATCAAGCCAATTTGCAATAGGTTATTGAGCACAAACTTCTACAGTTCTAAATGGTCTAATTCTTATATAGTTCTACTGGTCCAATTCCTACAAACTGAATGGGCCTTAGATAGTATTCGTATTTGTTAAAAAGAAGTGATACAGGATATTTCCTGGGTTGGTAGGAGTTAACCTTTGAGATTTTCTTCTATCTTACTGTAATTTTATGATGCTATTTCCCCTTTGTAAATGTGAGTTTTCCTAGTGATGTTCCTTTACTTTGTTTTTAATACAGAGCATTATATTTTTATAATTTATATTCTTCTTCTTCTTTTTCTTCAGCGTTTGTCTCGCGCTCGGGCGAGGTCCGCTAATGTCCTAAAACACAGAAGATACCACTAAGGATGTTTATTTATTATTTACCATTTATATCTTTATAAATTATATTACATTTAATATAAATTATAAAAATATATAATTTTTATAATTTATATTAAATGTAATATAATTTATAAAGATATAAATGGTAAATAATAAATAAACATCCTTAGTGGTATCTTCTGTGTTTTAGGCATTGTAGAAGGACAGCTGATTTTTTAAGCCAAAAATCAGGACTTTGACAGCATCTTTTCCAATCAAACATTTTGTTAAAAGTCATAAGCTTTTGTGAACTGTATCTTACTTCATCAGATCTATCTAATATCTTTTAATATTAGTATTATATTAATTACTCCGAAAAGATATTCTGGATTCCTGATTTTCTTCTACCATTTAGAGTAGGTGTGATTTTAAAAGAGTTATCAAGTACTGAGTAGAAATTCTGCTTATATGCATTGATGTAGGTGCAGGAATTATTCAAGAAAAGATCCCTGGAAGGAACACATCACGTTTGCTGGTTTGTTAGTTTAATTTTTCATTTTTTGTGTGTGGAAATCCACTGGGAGGTCATATTTCTAAAAATGCACACAAACACACCTAGTGCAGAAAGTACTATGCAGCTGCCTTGGACACTTTAAAAGCATTTTTAAAAGATATGTCCATTTCTATTGTATTTTTAGTGAAACTAATCATTGTTAGGGAAATTTTATATAGAATGAAGGCATAATTTCTTGTTTACACCTTAAAGAAGAATAGAAGTAATCTGCAATCTGGATCACAACATTGTCACATCTACACATTCTTTAAATTAGATGCTGCTTTATATTGGGCTAAAATCCAGTCGGTTGTAGCTTTTCATATTTAGATATAATTGGGAAACCCCCCTTTTCGATTTCTGCCTTTTATGCACTCCTTAGCATGCACCATTTAAGAGTCTGTGCATAAAAAAGGAGAGGATTATCAGCAAGGTTTGCTTCCTGGGTGATTTCCTTTTAGCCCCAGGATATGTTGAGATTGCTGCTATTGCTCTGGAAGTCACTTAAATCACTATTTTCCCCCTTTAAAGATTGTCAGGTTCTGTCTATGCAAGGTGGCATTATTTCCATTCTCTCCTAGAGGAGAACAAAGGCTTTTCTAAACATACTTACCTGAATTGGTTGTTTGTGGTTGTTTTCTTGCAGACCTTTCATTACCCAAACTAGGTAATAGCAGCAGTGCTAATATTGTGCTGAGGACTAACACTGATGATGTTCTCTAATTTGGGAAATGAAATGTCTGCAAAAAACAACAACAACCAAGTTCAGAGAGCACCAAGGACCCTGTGCTTGAACTGAGCCTTTTGTATTCAGGGAGGTTTACTCACAAGTATAGCTATGATTACATCCTTAGTGTATTTTCCGTTCAGATGGGCAGTTAAGCATCCTATGAATGCTTGCCAAGCTGACTATCTACCTGACCTTTAAAACACACACAATAAACAAGGAGGAAATTGTCACATGGCAATGAATGCCCCAACTTTTCAGCTCATATTTATTTGCAACAAAATGCCCCGTAGGAATAGTACAGATATAGAGAATTGGTGAAGAGAATTTAGACCTTCTGGTGAGGGGGGTCCATGTCCATTTTGTGAGAAGAAAAATCTTTCAGGAGCTATTGCTACCTATCGCATCCTCTCAAAATCACAAACTAGTTTCCATCCTCCAAAAGTTTGCTTAGCCTTCCTTAAGTCATATGATGCTTTTTTCATTTGGCTATTGCCTTTTAATTACCTAAATACATACAGGACATGCTTATTTCATTCTACAAATTAATGTTGATATGGTAATTTATTGGTGAATATAAAACTAATGAGAGCCAGTTTGGTCTAATGATTAAGGTATCCAGGCAACTCTGAGCTTCTAGTCCCGCTTTAGGCATGAAACTGGGCAGGAGGAGTTTAAGATAATCATACTCTCTCAGTCCAACCTACCTCACAGGGTTGTTGTTGCAATTAAAATAGTAGGAAGTATGAATATTAAGCATGAATATTAAATATTGAGTTGTATATAAAATCAATAAGCCAGCATGTGCATAAATAAAAGGCTTGTAATAATAGTGTGTGACCCCACTCATACTTTGGTTTATAGTTTGAGGTGAAGCTTATTCAACAAACCATGATTTAGAACCCACTAAATTGAGTTTAAACCAGAAACGTGCCTTTTAGGTATACTATCAGAGGATTTTGAGAAAGCGACCACCTATTTAGTGTTACACATATTGACAGTAGTGAGGATTACATATGTTAAATACTGGAAAAATATGAATACTCCATTGGACAAGATTATAATTAGGAAAATTTGGGACTGTGCTGAAAGGGATAGATTAACTTTAAAAATTAAAGACAAAGATGATTCGGAATACTTTCAGACATGGAATAAATTCTATGAATGGATAGAGAAAAGAGGTAGAAATTAGAGAAAGTAAGATTATGAAGGTTAATATTGAAAGTAAAGAAGTAGATAAATATGAATGTACTAATTGATAAAAATGTAATTAATCTAACATAAGAAGAAATCTAGATCAACTTTTTTGGTTATACTATTAGTGATGTTATTATACCATTACTATTGCTTTTAGTTTGTATGTTGAGATTTATTACAAATAATGCTCTGCCAATGCACTGTTGTTCAAGAATGTTTATGAATGAAAATTTATAAAAATAAATATAAAAAATATAGAACCCACTGCATAGTGAGATGTGTGACACCTGCACCAGCCTTCTGCTGGCTGACATTTACAGTTTCCTAAAAATTAACTGATGTTCTTCCTTTGGTTCAAGGTTCCGGAAGCCTTTATGGAGGTGACTGTGCATTCAAGTGATGTGCAGCGCACACATCCAGGTCGCCGACAGAAAACCTTCAAGAATAGCGTGCAGGGGAACTACTGGGCCCCAGCTGCCATAGGTAAGGTCTACAGAATGATAAATAGATGTGGTTGAAATCAATGAACCATTAGTACCAGCAGTGTTCTTTGCCATGTCCTCATGGAAAACTTTAAATGGTTATTCTTTTCAAAGCTAGGGAGTCCTTGACGTACAACAGTTCATTTAGTGACCATTCAAAGTTATAAGCATTGAAAAAAGTAACTTATGACCGTTTTTCACACTTGGGACCGTTGCAGCGTCCTCATGTTCACATGATCCAAATTCAGGTGCTTGACAACTGAATCATATTTATGACAGTTGCAGTGTCAAATGGGAATGTAGCAATAGCAAGAGCACTTAGACTTATATAGAATGGAATGGAATAGAATAGAATAGAATAGAATAGAATAGAATAGAATAGAATTCTTTATTGGCCAAGTGTGATTGGACACACAAGGAATTTGTCTTGGTGCAAATGCTCTCAGTGTACATGAAAGAAAAGATACATTCATCAAGAGTCAAGAGTCATCAGATACAACACTTAATAATAGTCTTAGGGTACAATTAGCAATCAAATCATACTAGGAAACAGTCAATATAAATCATAAGGATACAAGCCACAAAGTTAAAGTCATACAGTCACAAGTAGGAGAGGATGGGCGATAAGGAGTGATGAGAAGATTAATAGTAATGCAGACTTTGTAATTGGTTGGACAGTGTTGAGGGAATTATTTGTTTAGCAGAGTGATGGCTTTCGGGGAAAAACCTGTCCTTGTGTCTAGTTGTTCTGGTGTGCAGTGCTCTATAGCGTTGTTTTGAGGGAAGGAGTTGAAACAGTTTATGTCTGGGATGTGTGGGGTCTGTAAATATTTTCACAGCCCTCTTTTTTTTACTCGTGCAGTGTACAGGTCTTCGATTGAAGGCAGGTTGGTAGTAATTGTTTTTTCTGCATGCTTTTACAGCCCTCTCTAAGCGTTTTACAGAATCAGCCTATTGCCTCCAACAGTCTGGGTCCTCATTTTACCGACTTTGGAAGGTTGGAAGGCTGAGTCAACCTTGAACCTGGTGGGATTCGCTCTGTCAAATTGCAGGCAACTGACAGGCAGCAGAAGTAGCCTGCAATACTGCACTCTAACCACTGCTCCAACGAGGCTCTTAAATATGGGAAGCTGACATATATTAAACAATCCTCAATCTGGCTAGCTCACATAATTTGTTCTACCAGCCATCAGCAGTTCTCAAGGATTTCAGTTAGGATTCGGAGTAAAAAAAAAAAATCACCTGGAGAAGCCAGGTACTGGGATCATTTGTGTAAGTCTTTGACTTATGACAATTGAGCCCGAAGTTTCTGTTGTTAGCGAGACAGTTGTTCAGTGAATTTTGTCCCATTTTACGATTTTTCTTTCCACCGTTGTTAAGTGAATCACCGCAGTTGTCAAGTTAGTAACAGGGCCATTAAGTGAATCTGACTTTCTCATTGACTTTGCTTGTCAGAAGGCCACAAAAGGGAACCCCGAGATTCTGCAACAGTCAGAAGTACATGCCAGTTGCCAAGCCTCTGAATTTTCATCACATGACCACGTGGATATTGCAATTGTCATCCGTGTGAAAAGTGGTCATAAGTCACTTTTTCAGTGCTGTTGTAACAGGAATGGTCACTAAATGAATTGTTGCAAGTCAAAAACTATTTGTACCAATACTCCATACGGAGTGTCGGAGATTAAGTCTCATGCCAAAGGTCATTCGCAGAGTACATGAATCACAACTTGGTCCCTGTTGTCGTGTTGTACCAGCTCTCAGCCAACCCACCTGCTGTTTTTAAACCCCTGCAGGCCAAGTTCATTGCCACTCCTCTGAGCTGCTCTCCCGCTTGGATCGTGGAGAAGAAGCCTGGGTCCCACAAATCCAGAGCTCCGATGAAAGCGCAGATGAAGGCCCAATTAAGCCAACACTGAAGCAGATACCGACAGGAGGGATCTGGTGGGATCGATACCGGAGTCCTGTGACCTACCCCAGTTCAGAGTCTGCAAACTCAGGTTAGAACCGCTGCGGAAGGCCTCTGGCTTAAAGGGCTACGGTAGTTCTAAGACAGGGGTCGCCAACCTTTTGGACCTGGGGGACCACCAAACCCATAATTTTAAATCCCACTAACCAGTTCTGTGGGTGTGGTCTAATATCTAGGTGTGGCTTGGTGGTCATGTGACTGACTGGGCATGGCTTGTATGTAAATATTATAAACATTTATATAAATATTGAATTTTTTATATAAAAAAATGCAACTTCTACCCAAAATCAGGCAAAGTAGACAGGCAGGTTGAGTTGCTGAACGAATCATTCAGAGATCTATCTATCTGCCATTAGCTACCTGAGTCTGTCACATAAAATTTGCTTGCAGTGAGTCTGCACTGAATAATAGAAGCTTCAGTCCTAAGGGAGGTTCGGCTCTGCTTAAAAGCATAATAGAAGATCTAAAGACTAGCTAGAAAGTAAGAAATAAAACGATTTCCTGCTTCCTAGCTAATCTAAATCTCCCGGCACAACAGAACAGCTGATGGTCGGAAAAAGGAAAAATTGCAATTTAGCAGGCAAATTTGCTGGGCAAGGAGTGAGTGGGAGGGGAGAGTTCCCACAGGCCATGTGGGCAGCACAGCCTTGTGTTTCTGTGCAGCCTGGATTAATTGCTTTGGGGGGGTGCTCTGGGGGGTGAGATTTCTCTGCGGCCCACCGGTTGGCAACCACTGTTCTAAGATATCTTGAAAAGCTTGCCATTTTAAAAGAGTTGTAGAAAAGCAATCCAATTCTAGCAGTGGGATTGGATCCAGCTCATTGTCTGGGTTCATATATTATGTTAAGTGACAGTGACACTTGGTTTGCTGTTCTGGCTTGGTGGGATGTGTTAAACCAGCTATTGTGGTTTGTGGGAATATGGCAGGGGTCTCCAAACCTGGCAACTTTTAAGACTTGTGGACTTCAACTCCCAGAATTCCTCAGCCATGCTAGCTCATGAATTCTGGAAGTTGAAGTCCACGTGTAAAGTTGCCAAGGTTGGCAATCCTTGGTGTAGACCAGAGGTGTCAAACTCAATCTCACTGAAGGTTACATCAGGGCTGTGGTTGAGCTTGGGCTGGGTGGGTGTGGCCAACTGGATGGGCATGGCTAACTGGGTGGGCGTGGCCAGTTTGACACCACTCCCCAAACTGCTGGCATGTTTCCTCTTTGCACTGGGTAGACAGGGCCAAAGTCAGGTTGGGTCGATCTTTCTTCTTCGCATTGAGTTGATAAGGATGGCCTCACGAGCAGGATCTGCCCCGTGGACCTTGAGTTTGACAACCCTGGTGTAGACTCTAATAGTTGGGAGAATACCATTCCAGGGTGCAGGAGTGGCAATAGAGGAGGCACACTTCTGGAATTCCATAATATATGTCAAAGGGGGTATATGTGAGATCCTGAGTGTACCAACCCATTATGGGATGGTAAAAGACATAATGGTACCAACCCA